TGTGACATGTCAACCCGTTGTTGGGCGACGGGATGTGGAACGAGGTTATGCAAACCGCTTCTAAGCGCCAGCCGGTAAACAAGACTCCCGCGCAGTCGCGATGACGTCATGCTGCAGTAGTGAGCAGGAGTCACGTGAATTCTGTTTCCGCGAGTGACGTCACATACCTCCTCCCAGCCGTCGCTAAGGAACGATGCACTGTAAATCCTGTACTGACAGAGGACTTGTATACAGTGCAATAGGTAGAATTTGCAGTAACATGCTGTATGTGCGGTATGTACACTTGACGAAAGGCCAAGCATATTCATAAGAGACAAACCCACCTTCTCGTCAGAGAAGATTTACATAAGGACTATTACTGCAAAAGTTCAGCTGTAAAAAATCTCTGGTCTTGGGCCTCAAGGGGCCTGACGCCAAGAATAACTGATTGGCGGTAAACCGCCAGTTGTAAAGTAACTCTGACTTTGACTTTGACTTTGACTTTGAGCGGTAGTCGGACCAAAGGAGAACTGAGAACAGGTCAGAGCAGAAGAAACCAGCTCAACCAAGAACCAGAAGACGACTGACTAGTCAGCTGGCATCGGCTGCAAGACGCCATTTCTGAGTGACTGTAATTGCAATTGCAAACGACTTATCCAATAAATCGCTTCGTCTAATCCGGAACCGGTTATTTCTTGTCGCGTTACCAGGAGACGCGAGAGTACTCACTGATTGGAGAGCAGCAGTTCTCAATAAGTTTCGAAGCACCTGATGATGACCATATCGGTCGAAACACAGTGCGCCAGTGGTGTGAAAAAAAAAAGAAATTAAATTAAAAAAGTGAATTTTTAGATTTTAACATGTTTTCATGTAAGGCTGTGAGTTAGGTGTGAAAATGAAAGATGTTTCTTACACGAGCAGAAAAATATCTAGTAGTACACTAACTGAAGCTGCCGGTTCACGATGTTCTCTTAATGCACTTCTCAGTTCGGAAACTTTCCTCAGAAGACTGCAAGAAGTGTACGCACCACTTGGTACCGTAATCTCTAACGCAGACGCTTCTGAACGCGTATTTCCAGCATGACGCCTCTGTCGTCAGAACGACTGACGACTGAAGTGGATTTTCGGGTCCTTCCACGACGTCTATTGGAAAAGACATTTTCGATTCTTTACTTTCTGTAGCCTTCATGACTCGAATAACTTTGCGTCACACCTGCATAAAACTTGGCTCTAATTAAAGTCTTTATGGTTCAAGTCTATCGACTTTCTAGAACAGCGAGCTCTGTGTAAATACTCCGCCAGAAGAATTCAGTTAAGTGCACGACGCGCGGCGTCACGTCGCCAGGAACTGGGGGCTTCTCCCTCCACGTCACCACAAATCCAGTCACGTCCTGCCAACTTACATCATCCCTTGTATATTTTAAATGTGTTCCCCTTCC